GACACAAAAGTTGTGTTCATTTGAATGAAAGGAAATTCAAATGTAATGAAGAAAATTGCGGCGAAAAATTCAATCATGAATCACATCTCATTCGACACAAAAGCATACATTCGGGAGAAAAACCATTTATTTGTAATTTTAAAAATTGTGATAAAACATTTCGTACAAAATATGAATTAAAATTACATATGAGAAGACATCTAAATATAAAAAGCCATAAATGTATTCATAATAAATGTAATCAACGGTTTGTTACATCGAGTGATTTGAAAAGACATTTCATTCATAAACATAAACAAATTTAATCACTTTTAATTAAAAACTTAATTAATTTACACATTACTGTAAATTAACATCATACTGTATAATAATTCTTGATAAGATAAAAATAAAATAATTATGTTATAATAAACTATTTTATAAATAGAGTAATTAATTATAATTATTTTAATTATTCAGCAATACTTAATTGGCAATTTAATTTATTGATCAATAATAATGTTTCCAAATGCCATCACATGTACTCTCGTATAGATTGTCGAGAATAAGTGACATATCGTTGGGATTCAAGTCTTTCACTCGAATCACAGATTTGTCCCAAAGTTGTGGCCAAACGTCATGTGCTTTACTATATAAACAAATTTTAAATTATAATCATAAAACAACTATGGCAAATAAATATTATTTTAATTAAACATAATTAAGTTAATGTACCCATGTTTAGCAAAATCAGTCCATACTTTCAGTAAATCAATACTAAAATCATATTCAATTTCGCTATAAAGTGTCGGATTTCTTAAGGGATAGCCGTAAACAAAATCCATGTCCGCGGCGTGCGATACAACATCTGCGCGAACCCCATAAACTTTGCCATAGAATTGACTTTGAAAATTAAAACGATAAAAATACACATTTTGTCCACTTTTGGTAGATCTCTTGGCGAAGAGATATGTGGGACAAGTGAACACTAGATTGCCATATAATGCACTCAACGCTGCCTTGAGTTGCGATGAATTGGTTTTGTCAACACCTTTGAGGTAATGATCGCACACTTTGTCCACATCTATGTTCTGGTATTCATCACTCAATTTGACCACAATTTTTCGCAACTGGTGTTCAGTCATTTCGATTTGCATTTCTGGGTATAAAAACTGGGTCATTACCACACCCTCCTCTTTCACCGCACCGGCCATTAATTCCACATCTGGTAAACATATTCATTTAGTATTAAAACGCACATGAGCATTATATAAACTAATATTATATTAAACTAGTACCAGTATTATATAATCCTATTGTAAATGCTTTTTGAGGCAAAACTGGCAAAAACTCTGTGCCAAACACGGCGTGTATCATAACAAGGAAACCATACTCTGGTTTCTCAATAAACAGGTTCGGGTTTTCTATTGCACGCAAACAGTCCAACCATTTGTAGTCAAATTCATCGCAATTTAATTTGTTTGCCAATTGTTTGGCCCTTTGAAGGCCCTCAACAGTGCTGAGCGCCGGACGATCTTTGTTATACATAACGGACCCGCTCTGCATAATAGCCCTCTTAAACAGACCTTTTGATAGGGGAGACAATACATGTGCCGATACGGACCAACTGCCGGCACTCACACCAAATATAGTGATCTGGTCTTTATCTCCGCCAAACTTATGTATGTTTTCTTTAACCTATTATTTAATTAATTAATATAAAATTAAATAATAGTTAGGTACTTTACATTAAATGTATATGAATACCCATTTGAGTCCTAATAACTGGTCATAAAAGCCCGCATTTCCGGGCGCTGTCTGATCGCCGCCGTAGAGGAAGCCCAACGGCCCGACCCTATAGTTAACCGCAACCACAACCACATCATTGGCCGCAATAACACTGCCGTTAAATAAGTCTTGAAATATTGATCCCACACTCAGTGCTCCGCCATATATGGAGAACATGACTGGTTTGAGACCCACTTTCTGGTGATTATCATTACTATTGTCCACATTTGGTGTCCATATATTCAATACCAAACAGTCTTCACTATACGTCGGTTTATTTCTCTCATTTTCAAATACTATTTTGTTTTGAATACAATAATTTCCCGGTTGTGTGCCATCAATAATGCCCTAGATTGTTATGCAATCAATATATTATTTTATAATTATCAGTTGTAAATAAAAATTTATTTAGTATAATAAAATGCATACCTGTTTAGGCTCCTTCAGTGGTAAGGGAGGGGCGAACCTGAGTGGGCCTATAGGGGGCTCAGCGTAGGGTATATTCAAGAATTGATGTATTTTACGATTCAAGACTAGGCTTGCCAACTGGCCAAGGAATTCCTTGATTGGCAAGGAAAGACGTGTTTGGTCAAGGTGGAAAACGAAAATGATGGCGAAAATCAAGGAATTTAATTTTGTAAAAATTACTAGAAATTTATATTAAATCTAACTAAGATAATAAATTCCTTGACTAATAAATTCTTTAATAACCTAATATGTTTCAAGTTGTAAAATTCTTAATTATATTCTAACGTATTTGAATGTTTAATAATATAAAAATGATTTATACAATATTTGATAAGATATATAGCAAAATGAAATTAAGGGACATTTTTATGCAATTTCAAACAGATTTACAAAATATTTATATTCAAATATATAATAATAATGGTTAAGGAAAAGTCAAGGAAATTTCTTAAAATTTTGAATTATTTCAAGGAATTTCCAAATCGGAGTTGGCAAGCCTATTCAAGACATGGAGTGTCTGACCCCTCACTGAACCCGAACTCGTGTTCACATCAATACTATTTCCATCGCAAACACAACACACTATTAAACACACTATGAATACCAATAGGCTTAATTGTTTTACAACTATCATTATTAACTTTTTATAATTTTTACATCAAGACTTTACATTAATTTGTAATTAATTTTTAAACCGAGATATATACTTTACTAATACTTTTTTAATTGAGACTTTTTAAATACTCAACTATACATTTTAAAAATTGAATTATTTAGAGTACATGGTACGTTAAATATTTTATTATTAATAATATATTACACATAAACAAAAATGATATTAAATTTAATACATATGGAATCCACATGTTTTTTATATTATCGTTAATTGTCTATGAAAATATACTTTACAATTATATATACATGTATAGAATATTTAACACATGGATTCCACATGTTTATTATCATCAATGTCACATTTATTACTACTTTCAATGTAATTACTTTTTAATATAATAATTCAATGTCATTATAAAGTTGACGTTTATTGTTATAAATTTTATAATATTTATTTCAATGTAAAAATTTAAAACAATTATTAAAGAGGACCAATTGGTTCAAGATCTGATTTTATTAATCAGAAATATTCTCTCCAAATGCCATCACATGTACTCTCGTATGGATTGTCGAGAATAAGTGACATATCGTTGGGATTCAAGTCTTTCACTCGAATCACAGATTTGTCCCAAAGTTGTGGCCAAACGTCATGTGCTTTACTATATAAACAAATTTTAAATTATAATTATAAAATCAACCATGGTAAATCAATTTTATTAAAATTAAACATAATTAAGTAAATGTACCCGTGTTTAGCAAAATCAGTCCATATTTTCATCACTTCTATACTGAAGTCATATTCAGTTTCGCTATAAAGTGTCGGATATCTTAAAGGATAGCCAAAAACAAAATCCATTTCCGCGCCGTGCGATACAACATCTGCGCGAACCCCATAAACAATACCATAGAATTTACTTTGAAAATTAAAACGATAGAAATGCACATTTTGTCCGCTTTGGGCAAATCTCTTGGCGAAGTGATATGTGGGACATTTCAGAGTCAAATCGCCATATAATGCACTCAACGCTGCTTTCAATTGCGATGAATTGGTTTTGTCAACACCTTTGAGGTAATGATCGCACACTTTGTCCACATCTATATTATGGTATTCATCACTCAATTTGACCACAATTTCTCTCAACTGGTGTTCAGTCATTTCGGTTTGCATTTCCGGATATAATAATTGCGTCATTACTAGACCCTCGTCTTTGGCCGCACCGGCCATTAATTCCACATCTACTAACATTTAATAGCTTAATATCAACATTAAACAATATATACAGAACTACTACCATTATTAAATAACCCTGTTGAAAATGCTTTTTGTGGTAACACTGGTAAAAACTCTGTACCAATAACAGGGTGTGTATAAACAACAAATCCATAATCTGGTTTCTCAATAAACAGATTCGGGTCGTCTATTGCACGCAAACAGTGCAACCAATTGTAGTCAAATTCATTGCAATTCAAACGTCGGGCCAATTGTTTGGCCCTTTGAAGGCCCTCAACAGTGCTGAGCGCCGGACGATCTTTGTTATACATAACGGACCCGCTCTGCATAATAGCCCTCTTAAACAGACCTTTCGATAGCGGAGACAATATGTGTGCCGATACGGACCAACTGCCGGCACTCAAACCAAATAATGTAATCTGATCCCTATCTCCGCCAAAATAGTGTATGTTTTCTCTAACCTGTGATTTAATTTTTACTAATTTATAGTTGAATTATAATATTATAGTGTTATAATGATAATACAGTATAATTTAATACCCATTTTAGTCCTAATAACTGGTCATAAAAGCCCGCATTTTCGGGCGCTGTCTCATCGCCGCCGTAGAGAAACCCCAACGGCCCGACCCTATAGTTAACCGCAACCACAACCACATCATTGGCCGCAATAACACTGCCATTCAATAAGTCTTGAAATATTGATCCCATACTAAGTGCTCCGCCATATATAGAGAACATGACTGGTTTGAGACCCACTTTCAGGTGATTATCATTACTATTGTCCACATTTGGTGTCCATATATTCAATACCAAACAGTCTTCACTATACGTCGGTTTATTTTTTTCATTTTCAAATATTATGGTGTTTTGAATACAATAATTTCCCGGTTGTGTGCCATCAATAATGTCCTAAATAGTTATGCAATCAATATATTATATTATAATTATCAGTTGTAAATAAAAATTCATGTAAAGTATAATAAACTTGAGTATAAGAAACTGCATACCTGTTTGGGTGATTTGAGTGGTAAGGGAGGGGCGAACCTGAGTGGGCCTAAAGGGGGCTCAGCGTAGGGTATATTCAAAAATTGGTGTATTTTGCAATTCAAGACATGGAGTGTCTGACCCCTCACTGAACCCGAACTCGTGTTCACATCAATACTATTCCCATTGCAAACACAACACACTATTAAATACACTATGAATGCTAATAAACGTAATTGTTTTGCAAATAACATTATTTACTTTATATAATTTTTTCATATATTAATTTGTAATAAAATTTTTAAAACCCAAATAATAATACTTGATTAATTGAGGCTGAGATAATAATACAAAACTTAAATTTATAAAATACTATTACATGCTGTTCTACCTATGTATAGACAATATAAAGAATGCATTAATATAAAGGGTAAATTATTGTTAATTATAGCACATGTTAAGCAATACATGTTAATTATAGCATATAATAGATTAACTAACAATGAATTAAAATTTAATACATATGGAAACCATATGTTTATTATATTATAAGTTAATTTTTTATTAACGTTAGTTGTCTATTAATTTATGTGTATATTATTTAACTCATGGATTCCACATGTTTATTATTATCAATGTCAGATTTATTATTTGTAATTACAATGTAATTACTTTTCAATGTAATAATTCAAGCTGATTATATAGGTTACGTATATAATTTATTGTTTTAAATTATTTTGAAAAAAATATAACAAAATAATTTTAGTTATTGAGTTTTAAATGTTTTTACAATTAAATAGTAAAACATTAATATAACTGTATTTAATTTCGAACAGCTAGATTGATTATTTAAATTAAATCATTTAAATCATTATACGTATTTTATAATAACACACTGTATTAATATTAAATTCTTGATCCTTAAAGAGATAACTAAATAGATTATTAATTTTTATAATATAAAATTTCAAATTAATTATAAATATATAATAATTAAGTCTTTGTATAGAGAGATAAGTTTAACAATAATTACATTATAATTTTCGCTATTAATCACCTTTGGTAAATAATTTTAATTACACTATATTTTATATGTACTGATAACTGAATTTTCTGTTATCATTTCCATTAAATTAATTGCACATAAAATCATATTACATAAACTGTTAAGGAACAACGAATAATTTAGTTTAGCCATAATAACTATTGTAACTGATATATTTTTATTTGAAAAACATAATTATAATTTATAGTAATGCAGTATTTATGTGTGCCAGCCCGGGGGCAGCTGGCATTGTTTTTGCTGCTATGTTACAGTTCCGGCAATTCGCATTTGACCTGGTTGGCCAGATACTATATAGCTAGGTTGTTCTCCATTATGCGCCTCTGTTGACCATTAACTGGCATTTGAAACGTGATATTTTGCTGACCACCATATATGGCCGCATTAGCGTTGAGTGCCCTTATCTTCAGCGCCCGGACGTGTTTGGCGTACAGGGAAGCGACTAAACCGCAGCCAAACAGTGCGACCACTAAAATGATTGCCAGTAAAGAGAATAGTATGGTGTAAGCGATGGCCACTCCGGCCAACAACGAGCAGATAATACTGTAGGTCACGGATGTCTTATAGCTGTGTTTATAACCCGAATAAATGCCCAGTAATTGAGTCACAAATGATATGACAGCAATTGTTATGATGAATGTTATGTCCGAGTCCTACGTTATTAAATAAGATGATTAAGGTTAGTTTTCAGTTTAGCATTTATGGCATAATCCGTAAACCACACGACAACCTGGGCGAATTTTATTTAAACAACTGTCTGTGTTATTTGTTGTATTATAACTAAATTTAGTGATAATAATTATAAAAATCAAATTTAAATTAAACTTAACTCTCCATAATATCACACACGTAATTTAATTGAGAGCTGAATGTATAAAGAATATTACTTACAAACTTATCATAGTGATAAGGGCTTATTATAATGATCATGAACGTGGTGGTCACCACGACAGCGGTAGCAATCAATGATAGTGCACAGCAGACATAAACACGCTGTTTTAGCTTCACAAGCTTACTGTCCGACTGGACAACTATTTTGGGAACAGTTGGGTGTCCTCTATCCGATAAATAAATTGACCATGTATAAATTTTAACAAAGCAGTTTAACAAGATCAATTTTAACACGTTCAAAATGTGACAATAATTAACCAATGAATGTCAATTTAGTTGACAACACTTCACCATAGTTATTGTATATTTTTCTTTAACTGCACTTTTACTTTAAGATTTAATTCATGGAAAATTTTATATTAAATATGTTTAAAGCAGTTTACACATTATGATTAATTAATGATGGTTATAATTACTTAATAGTCTTAGTTTAATTCAATATTTTCATGTAATTTATCATTTTTATATGCAATGTGTTTATTATCGCATCCCTATTAGGAATCTTTATAACGGTATATTTATATGATAGCAATTTTATGAACCATGATTGCTTTCAAATAATTAATATTCTATTCAATTTATAATTTATTTAATTTATTTAATTTATTAAAACATTTGAAATTAAGTTTTTTAGAAATTGATTAAACCGATGAATTTATAATTTACAAAAGCAAATTTACAAACTATTTTAAATACACAATGAAAGTATTAATTAAAATTTTGATTATTTACAGTACGGTTCTCTTAAGTCTCTCCAAACACTAGTTTTTCACACTTTGAATATTAACCCTTAAACCTAACAGTCATATAAATAACATGTTGTATGACTTTTAATTTTTCTTATCATTGATTAATCCTTAATTGATTACTGTTTCGTTTTGTTAAGCCTTATATTGAAAGACAAACGCATGTTTTTATACTTAATTTAATTAATGTATTAATTGTTTGTTTCAATCATTTTATGTGAAACAAACAATTTTGGTGATAATTTGTGTGCAAAGTTGTTGTCTATCATTGCATTTGATGTCGATTTACGCGAAGAGTTATTGGCTTAACTCACATTTGACATCAAATTGAGGTATGATTTAGTGTCTAAACATGTGCTAAGGAGGGAAGTATGCGAATATCCGCTAGCTGATCCAATCGTGTTTGATATGATCATGTCCAGTATTGTATGTAGATTCATATACAATTAACAAAACGTGCGAATGGCCACAAACACCGGAGATATGTCCAAATTCCTAATCACTTGCATACGCCTTATAGCCAGGGCATTGAAATTTGCATACTTGCATATATTTAGCGGGACATAGTATCGGTTCGAGTGTCCGGATATCCACCGATCATGTACTGGGGGTCACTTTAACCGAGTTTTATTTTGAATATATATCATTGATTATCGCAAATTTCAACCATAACTGCATTTTAAGCGCATAATTTGTTAAAATGTGTATGATCTATTGCCTCATGTTAAAAATATAATAATAATAGAATTGGCGAATTTGTATATATCACCCAAATTGTAGTTTATTTAATATGTTAGAGTTGGTAATACATTTAACATTAGTTTTCCATGTGCTACACTAAATATATAAGCATATTAATACCGCAATTAATTCATCTAAATTTTTCTATTTAATATTATGTGTATACTTCAAAACATATTACAGTTGGTAAAACATTTAACATGAGTTTTCCATGTGTTATACTGAAGATATAAACATTTTAATATCGCCATTAATTTAATATAATATAATAATAAATTGCTTATAAAATAACATGTTTATATATTTACCACTAATTTGGAATATAAATAATCATAATAAAGAAATAACAGTTTAAATATATTCATTCAGTATAAATTATAATATGTAAAAATATGAGTGTTGTGTTGAAGGGTTAATTTTCAACGTGTGAAAATCTAGTGTTTGGAGAGACTTAACAGAACCGTAATTTACAGTATTGTAGTATTAATTGGTATTTTTGATTTATGATTGATATCTGAAAACCGGTTTTGTTTATCAATAATACCTGTTTTGAAAACACGTGGAAATGTACATCAAATCAAGTCAATAGACTTAATACAATCAACACATTAACAACAAGAGTATTTTTTAAATAAGACTCATTAATTGTATTACCTGTTCTGTTAATTACTAAGTGGTTAATTTTATAAATATTTTGAAATTGTTATTTAAAACTGATTTACAAAATGTGCTCAAAATTAATGAGTGTTTCGTTGATTGAAATGAAGAGTAAATTCAATGCAATGAAGAGTTTGTGTGAAATAATAGAC